GTGCGAGCCGGCCTGGGGTTCTGCGGGTAAGGCGGGGCGTGCAGCGCCGGGAAACCGGGAACTTCACTTCGCATTACCCATGGCCCGGGAGAGGTACCCCGGTGGGCGCCCTGAGACCTTAGACTGGCGGTCTGCCCAGGAGGGGGCACTGGGCTCTCTGAGCGCATGGAGACTGGGACCCCAGGGCACAGCGCACGGGCAGCTGAGGGCAGCGGAGGGACGCGGAGCCCCGGCGTAGGGTTCTGTCCCCTGTAAGGGACAGCAGGCGGGGCACCGTGCAGTTGGGGTCTGAGGGGGCAGGTGCCAAGGCTTTGCGTGGGGGAGAGGCCGTCTGAGGTCCCCGGTCCTTCCAGGAAGGGGGTGGCCTCTGGGCCGCAGCAGACTCTTGAGCCCTCCCTTCCAACTCGCTATGATGTGGCTGCAACGTCTCCGGAAGTGGGCGCCAAGGGCCAGCGAGGGGGCGCAGCCCCGGCGGGAACTGCTGGGGGTGGTGGCTCCTGGAAAGCTCTGGGGAGGGAGAGGGGCGGGACCCAGGAAACCCCCAGGGTGTGCGCCTGCCAGTGTGAGCCACTTGAGTGTGGGGCGTGTGGCTTTGCTGGGTTTCTGGTCACCCCACCCTGGAGTGGGCCTGTTTCCTTTCATATTTTAAGATGGGGTTGCACCTGTCCGCTGTCTTCAGGGTCCTTATCAGCAATGAACATCTGTGCCTCTGGGGGGCGGGGTCCGCTTGGGCACAGGGTCCCAGGGTGTCAGATTCAGAATCTGTCGTGTCGGGCTGCTGGATACCAGACCCGGCCCCAGGCCAGGCAGATGGACCCTCGGGAGCGCGGCCTTCCCTTTTCTCCCCCAGCCCGGACATTCATCACCGGTGCCACCTCCGCCCTCCTCCCTCCCCTCCTTTCTGCAGAAAGGTCCAGGCTGGGCACGCAGGTGCACGTGTGCATGCATGCAGGTGTGTATGTGCACGCAGGTGCGTGTGTCCACTCAAGTGTGTGTGCATGTGCATGCACAGGAACGTATGCATGCGTGCATATGTGTGTGCATGTTCAGGTGCACATGTGCACACAGGCGTGAGTGTGTGCATGTGTGTGCGTGCAGGTGTGTGTGCATGCAGGTGTGTCGCTAGCGTTTGAGGTGCATGTGCACATGTGTGTGCATGCGCAAGTGTGTGTGCACACAAGTGCGAGTGTGTGTGTGCACGTAGGTGCACTGTACGCATGTGCACGAAGTTGTGAGTGTGTGTGTGTGCGCAGCTGTGCGTGTGTGCGAGCAGGTGCGTGCATACAGGGCGTGGATGGAATTTGCAGTGTCTTGGATGGACTCTCCCTTGGACATCTGAGACCCTAGGAAATGTCTAGAACCGTAGGCCTCCTCCTCCAGGAAGCTCTCTCTGCTTTCTCTGGCCCGTCTTCCCAGGGAGCACTGCAGCCCTGTCCTCCGGACGCAGCAGGCAGGCCACCCGCCCTCACCGCCCTCACCGCCTCTAGAATAAATCCTTCCCTCAGACCCACCCTCTGTCCTCACCTGTGTGGTCCATGGAAGCCAAGTGCCTTTTCCAGCCCCCAGACAGACGTGGGTGGGCCGGGCAGTTTGAGTCCAGGCTGCTAAATCTAAAGACGATAGCCCAGCCTGGACCCGTCTCTCCCCTCGGCCTTATCCCATGCCTGGTGGAGGTCTCCAGGTTTTTATGGGGAGCTAGGGTCTGAGGTGAATTTCATGCTCCTAGGTCTGGGTTCAAATTCTGACTCCTCTGCTCTGCTATGTGGCCTTGGGTAGATGACGTGACCATTCAGGTTTCTCATCCGTTCGAGGCCACCTGTGCTGGTCTTGAAGCCGGCCAGCCTAAGGTCAGCCTCCCTCTGGCCATTGAAGAAATGCTGACACCTTGTGGTCAAGAGGTGTAACGGTCGCTTGCGGACCGCTGGAAGCGGCCTTTGCACCAGAGCCTTCCAGCAGGATGCTGGCGGCCACGTGTGTAATTTTACATTTTCTAGGAGCCACACTAAAGAGGTTATAAGAAATGAGTGGTTACCTTTAATAACAAAATTCATTTAACCCAATGTATCCAAAATATTGTTTCAGGATTTTTCTCTTAATATAAGAATGATTAATGAAATATTTTCTTTTTTTTTTTTTGGTACTAAGTCTAAAATCTGGTAATTTACAACTACAACACATGTCGGTCTGGGCTCACAGCACTTCATGTGCCGGATAGCCACAGCTGCCTCGGGCCGTCACACTGGGCCCTGGCCAGACAGCCGAGTTCTCTCGTCCCCACCCCAGCCGCTACGCCCCCTGGAGGCAGACACTGGGACTTGCCTATTGTAATGGGTCGAATTGTGTCCCCCAAATACATGTTGAAGTCATTACGCCCAGTACCGCAGCTGTGACTTATCGGGATACAGTCACTGCAAATACAGACAGATTAAAGTGTGGTCGTGCTGGCTTGGGGCGGGCGCTGGATCCTACGGCCGGTGTCCTTGGAACGAGAGGGAAATTTGGACCCAGACACGCCAGGAGGGTCGTGTGAAGACAGAAGCCGTAGTCAGGGTGACGTGGCCACAAGCCCGTGCGGCCCCGAGCGCTGCTTTATGCAGTTTGAGAATTTCGTGGGAACTAGTCGCTCACCTGCTGGTGGCTGGGACTGGGCCGTGGTGGGCGCGTGGGCTGCACGGCAGGCGGCAGACGCTGGGGCGTGTGTGCCGGGCGCTGCGGTCGGCCCATACCACGCGGGCCGTCGTGCTTTTGGCGAGCCATGTGACCTCTATGAGACTCAGTGTGCCCTGGGGGTGACCTGCCGCATGGATGTCAGTGGGTTGGGGTGAAGAATGAGGTGAAGCCAGTGAGTGGCCAGCGGGGGCTGGGCGTCCGGTGGGCATCGGTGAGACACCGTCAGACGGGGCGGTCGCCCGCGGTGCATCGCTTGGGGGACGACCACAGCAGGATGGCACCCCAACAATGCTGGCTTTCTTTTCCCAGGTGGCTGCCACAGGCCGTCGGCCTCGGACAGTGGTACGTACATGGCCAGCCTGCGGGGTCCCTTTACGGGCGCGTGTGAACCCTCCAAGCCATCCGCGAGTTTAGAGGGCTGGGGCCTCGGCTCCGCAGTGAGCAGAAACGCGGCCCATCGTCAAACCCAGACTGCCCGTCAAGCTGCTGGACATGACACAGACGAGCAAGGGAGGACCTTCCCCCGCAGCCCGGGCCCTGCGCTCTGCGGGCGCGTCCCCTCTCCTGCCCCTGCTCCTTCGGGGTCCCCCTCCGTCCCCCTGAGGTCCGAGCTTGAAGTGTGCACCTCGTAGTCACTCGTCCTCCTCCTTCCCCTGGCTCTCAGCTCCTGGCCCACAACCTCCGGCTGAGTCCGGGCCTGGGCCAAGCCCCGCCCCCGGGCCAAGCCCCGCCCCCAAGCCCAAGTCTCCTCCTTCGTAATCAGGTTGAGAAGGTGACCCCATGGGATGCTTGCCGGCCAGCTGCGGGTATCTGGTGTATTTTAACTGGAGGGGCTAGATTTTTTTGAAAAAAAAAATTTTCGCAGTATGAAAGTCAGTGACGCCTGGATGCAGAAAACCCTGGGCGGGCTGGACCCTGCTCCCATTTCAGGGGCGTGGGAGCTGAGACCCAGAGCAGCCGGTGGGTGGGCAGCTGGGCGTGGTCGGTGTCGGCGCTGGTCCTCCCGCCGGCTCTGGCTTCCTCGGGAGGGGCTCTTGTCCTGGTTCTCGCTGGCTGGAATGTGGGGGCCCCTCTCTTCCGGCCCTGGCCCTGGGTCGGCCTGCTTGGGTGGAGCAGGCTCTCAAGTGTGTGCCGTGACCGTGGGTCCTCGTGGGCGGGGCGACCTGGTGACCCTGCCTCCCCGCAGCCACATGCGTGGACCTGCAGCTCCAGACCTGCAGTGACGCCGCCTACAACCAGACGGCCTTCCCCAGCCCCCTGGAGCACCGGTCGCGGGAGGCGCTGGAGGCCAGCTCCGAGTACGTGCTGCTGAGCGTCCTGCACCACCTCCTGGAGGGCCAGTGCAACCCCGACCTGCGGCTGCTGGGCTGCGCCGTGCTGGCCCCGCGCTGCCAG